TAAAGTATATATCATAAGAGTATTCATTTTATATCTTTGTAGCAACAGGTTAGCTGAAGAAAAATCTGTCAAATTTGGCAGTAGTTCAGAAAATATGTGAACCTGTCACAGTAAGCAGTCTCAAAGGGCGAAATGCATTACAGGAGCTAATTAACCTTAGAAAATAATTACACAAATATGCAAATGTTGTTTAGATAATTCCATGTGTTATCAGCACAGGTAGTCCATCATAAATGCAGACCTTGCAATGCCTAGGTAGTAGAATCTGGCATAGTCGATAAGGCTTTGGTTACTCATCACTTCTGTTTGGCATTTAAGGATTAATGATGGCAAGAGTATACCAGGAAATTCAACCTGTACTCTTAATATAGCAGAATTCCACAGTGTAAATATCCTATAAAGTCTGCCACCAGCAAACTCTAATTAATGGATTTACTTCTTGTTTTTTCCATGTACTTTATACGTTTGCATATTCTCAAATCATCCAACTTGAATCAAGTTACTCAATACAAAATGCATTATAATGTGAAATTCATGGAGAAACCTGTACAATTTAGTGTATTTGCATTTCTGTAATTGAAGCATATTAGGAAGCCTTTCCTATTGAAATCTGTTTAATCTCAGAATACACTATTGATAATATATACACTCTGGATTATAGTTTATAAATATATAATGATTGTGCACACAGTGTGGACTATGGGTTGGAATGGCACAAATTTGCCTTGGTATAGCATCACTTCATTTATAAAATTGAGATTTTAGTTTGTAATATTTTTAATGTAACACTCCAGAATTATACATTTAATTGACTCAAATTAATTCCTGTGCTTAACTGCAGAATTTTTTAAATCCTAAAATATGGGGATCTCTCTCTCTGTCTCAAATACTATAGATAGTAAAAAAAATCCTTGGGAGATAGAAGAATAAGAGAGCCAAACTGTTTATAGCTAAGATTTATCTCCTTTATTACCTGTTTTTAAAAGTAATATTTTGAATAAAACTATCTCACTAATTCTTCAAGAATGGAGTCAACCTTCTTTTGATGATTCAGGATCACTGTTATCCCTGTCAGTTATTGTGCTTTAAATACAGTACTGCCCTTACCTTGCTCAGTGATAATACTCATAGTCTCAGACTGTATGTTCTCTTTGATTTTTTTATAGTTTTTCTGTTTCTTAAGTTACTGTCAAGCTTTCAGCTATAGCTTCTTACTCTTACACCTATTTGAAAAAAAAAACCTTCTAATTTGCCTCTTGTAAATGTGTAGTAGACTTTAATACCTTCATATCTAAAAAATTCTAAAGACCATGCTCAGATGCTAATTCTCTCCAAGGAGTCATCAATAATTAGAATAGTATTTTTGACTTTTTGTTGTTTATATTTTTATTATGAAAAACATTATTTTGTAGATATATAGATGGTTCAAAAGTATAAAGAAGTTAAAAAGAGAAATATTCATAATCCTATAATCCATAAATAGTATAAGTGCTTTTAATACTTTTGTTCACTTCTTTTGAAATGTCTTTTTTAAAGCTATCTTATATAGTGAAAATTATACTACATATAAAACCAAATGAGCTACATGCATTATATGTTAAATTCATCAAATAGGTAAATACTATATCCTTAGACTGATAAACTATAATTTATTTAACTACTTCTCCATTATCAAATATTTAAGCTTCATTCAAATTTTTGCTGCTATAAATGAGAAAGTGATGAATATCTTTCAGCATCGGTCTTTTGCCATATTCCAGATTAGTAGAAACTAGATTCATTTTCGTGTTTAAATACTCCTTTTTCTTGTTTTTTTTTTGTAAACATACTCCATAATATTTTGTCCACATTATTGTTGTCAATAACACTAACATTGTTAGTTGTTATTGAGTGATGATAGCATGCTTTGTATTTATAGTTGGAATCCAAAAAATAATGTCTTCAGGTTACTTATATTTTATAAAAGGAAGCAGAAATAACCTGAAAGATTAAAAATAAATGAGACAAAAAAACAATGAAATGGTATAGGATTCAATTTAATCTCCCATGACTGATAGAACAACTGGTAGGTAATCTTGAACAAACGTATTTTGCAGTAGTTTTAAATGTGACATGATACTAACACAGGTCAGTTATAAGATTTTGTGGGTCAAGTTAAACCCTTGTCACTTCTGCACAAGATTCTAATCTTCAGTTAACTTGACATTTCCCAGGAAGACTGATAAGGAGGTGTTTTAAGTTGGGTTTCCCAGTTTAATGAATTTTGAAATGGAGATTTTTATGCAAGAAGTTTGTTCAGGAATTTTCTTGGGATTACCTCCTATTAGGAAGTGGGGAAAAAATAGAATGAGCAGAAGTTGCAGTAGTCACAACAAAAGCCTAAGCTTAGAAAATGTATCTATAAGGTCAGGTTTCATTACATAGCCCCAATTTAGACCCATTCTACCAGTACAATTACTGATAAGCTCTTTCTGCATTCTCCAGTGTTTGTATAATAAATTTTGTGATCGTTTCATATGAATATATAGAAATGTGTTAAATATGTATGGTCATTTACAAGAATAGCTGTAAAGAATACATTTCTATAACTGCCACCACAGTCAAGAAATGGAACCATGGAAGCCACCAGCAGTCTATTTTCCAGTCACAACTCATTTTTCCTTAGCTGATTTTTATGATACTGATTTTTATGATAACCATTTTCCTACTTTTTAAATTTATGAAAGGTAATTAACAAAGTCTAAAAATCACTACAACTCTTTCTTTCTAATTATTATTTTTTCATTCATATTATATACACATCTTAGGTATGGGTAATTTCATATTTATGTTACTAATATTTATCTTTAAAGTATATTTGTATTTTCATATATAACTGTAAAGTTGTAGGTAATCAGCTTGAAGAGAAATATTGGGTTTTTATTGTTAATTATTACATTGATATTTAATGAGCAAGAAGACAAAGCTATTAGCTTCAAGAATTTGATAATGTTAACAAGCAATCACAGCATAGATCCTTTACTGCACTAATGGGAAGCACACGCAAGATGTTGTTAGAGAATGTTGTCTAACCTTGGGGTGACATTGAATACTTTCTAGATACCTCAGTTGGGGACCAAAGACAAGTAGGATTTGTACAAATAGGTGAAGGTAGTAGGTAAATTGAGGGTAGAGCTCAAGGGTCACTTCCCAATCAAAGGAAACAGTCCAGAAACAAGAAAAGTATGGCACAACTAGGTTTACTGCAAGTTCCTCCTTGCAACTGGTACACAGAGAGTGATCCCTGTTTTCTCTCAGAAGGCAAATAAATGATTTCTTTTAGTTACTGCATTTTGCAGGACAATGGTGAGAGATTCTGTTCAAGAGATAGATGGATACCAGATCATGAAGTGCCTTGGATATCATACCAAGGAATATAAATTTCATCTTGAAGGCAATGAGAAAACTTCAGAATTAAACAGGAAGTAACTGACTTGGCAACATGATTGTATTTGCATTTTGGGGAAGGAATTTGGGGGAAAAGAACGGAATTCTTTCTACAGAGTTAAAGCAATCCTAGAAACAGAAAAACTGGGATAGAGATTGTGTAGTCATTCACTTGTGAAGTTTTATGAGAAAAGTGGACAGATTTAAGAGACAGTTGGAGACAGAGTCAACAGGATTTTGATTAAATGAGGATTTTGAGGGAGAGAGAAGTAAAAACTTATGCTCAAGTTTCACTTGGACACAAGGAATAGATAATATCACAGGTTTGGAGAATAAGTTTTAGTATAATGTTGGATTGGTTGAGTTTGAAGTTTCTATGGGCCTTCCAAAAGGAAATGATCAGTAAGCAGTTGTCTTTGTGAATGTGGAAAGAAATCTAGGGTAGAGATTGATATTATGAAACAATAGCTTAATAAGTTATTGTAAAATTTCTAAGTTGAAAAATTTGCGTTGATTTTGGAATCCATGACATCATAACATTCTTAGGAAATTAGTCTGTTACTGTTAAAGCATCTAAGAAATAGTTGTACAAAACATTTTCATGATGTTTAGTTCTTAGCAGTTTATTTTTTATCATTATTATTTAGTTTTTTAATTTTTATTGTTTTAGTTTTTACATTGTCTAGGTTTTAGCTTTAGCCATAATATGTATCAACAGTAGAAATAAATACAACGAAGTGAAGTTACTGTAGAATTTTTCAAATTTTGAGCAATATATATAGATTTATTAGGATTTAGCTAATTAGAAAGAAATGTGAAAACTATGTTTATATATTGATGTTTCTTACAGTTCTATAAATAAAATATATATAAATGTGGCTGTATAACCAATGTGATCCTGCAATCTGTACACGTGGGAATAATAAGAATTCTTACCCCATTGAATCAAATGTATGATATATGATATGTCAAGATCAATGTAATGTTTTGAGCAACTAATAAATTTCTGATGTTTAAAAAAAATTAAATAAATATCCACTTTTACAAACAAACAAAAAAAAGAAAATGCTTTTAGAAAAAATGTTTTTAATAAATTCAATAGAAAATATCCATTGTTCATTTTTCTCCTTATTTTCAGCTTAGTTATTTATAATCTTATCAATCAAATAATTTAGATATAGGTATACTGCAAACATTGCCATATGTAAGTATAGGAACATAGCTAAATATTTACTGTTATGTTCTTTGAATCATAAAATCACTATAACTGTCAGCTAATAATTCTAATGTACTTAGATGTGTTTTAATATCTCAGGTATACCTGGATTGTTCCCCCTAAAAGTTCAGTTTATTTTAAATAATTTGTTTCAGAGTTAAGCTTAGCAATAAAATACTAATAGTTTTAATACTAATTTATTAATTAGCATTTATTAATTTAAATAAATTTATTTAAAATTTCAGTGTAGTTCTTTTGTTATTGTTTTGAATGCACTATAACCATTTTATGTCTTACATGTATGCAAGCATATAATTAAATTATTGATTACTGTGATAGTAATTTGTTTTCTTTGTAGGAGAATGGTTCTCCTGAAGAACATGCCGTCTATGTTTGGGACCATTTCATAGCCCAGTCTGCAGCTGAGAATGTATTTTTTGTTGCTCACAGCTATGGAGGACTTGCTTTTGTTGAACTGGTAAGTGCACATTTAATTGTATTTTTAATTCCCATTATCCTTAAAGTTTTATTCCCTGTATTTCCTTTTTTAGTATCATTACTTTAACTTATTATATAAAGGTTGAGAGTAGATATCTTGAGTAAACAAATTTGTGATATTTATGAAGAGTATAAAAGTTTAAGATGACAGAGATTTTCAGTTTAACCAGAATCTCTTTGCCTATTCCTTATTTACATATATTTTTTAAATTTCTATATTGTAGTCCCAGTTTCTACACATTTCATATTTATATCTCCTGTTTTTTTATGTATTCCACTGAAGCTTATATTTTCTGTAAAGTATATAAAACTGGGAATATTTTGATTTTTCACTGACATTTTATCTCTATTATTTAGTACTTGATACTTGGTCAGGATTTATATAATTAATACTAAAACTACCAGAAAAATTCCATTAATATGATTCTAACTAGAATGCATTGCTTGGCCTTGCATTTCAAAAAAAATTGTATTTCAAAATAATTGGACTTTTCGAGTTCATGTGTAAGATTATGTGTACATGAGAGAAAAAGCTACTAAAATTTCTGAATTTTGTCTTTATTATATGCAGTATCACAAGCAGCATAATCTTATGCCAGTGTGGCAATTGTGATATAATCAATACTAAAGAAGCACTAATGAAGAATTTGTGCCTCCATGTCTATACTCCCTTATGTCAAGAAGATACCATTACTATAATAAAATGATTAGTGTGATAAAAGTACATCTGATAATTTTAAATCCAAATGGATTAAAGCAAACATTAAAAGTAGGCACAATATCAATTGTCTAATTTTTGTGTTTCTAGACTTTGGTGAGTATTTCTGTATGTCATGGAAACTAAATATTTTCTCATGGACTTTTCTACTGCTTTATGCATTATTGCTTCCTTAGATGATATAGATATAAAACTGATGGTGACTTCTGACACTTGAGAATGCTTTAGCCTACGTAAATCTACAAATTCTTATGCTATTTTAAGATCAATAAGTAAATTAAATCACTTATTTAATTTACTTCAGTTTTTAGGGATTATTTTCAAGTAATTTTACTTTGCTAAAATTATTTATTCATATATAACAGATATCTTAAGTTAGCTCTTTAGCACATTAATGTGATATATTTTTAAAAATACAAATGTTACTTTTCAAAGAATTCCTTCCAACACCTACAGATACATAATTTTACAGACATAGATGCAGATAGCTTATTTTTTCTCTATAAGTCATTAAATTACTTTAAACATAAACTTTTTGGACTTGTAGAGTGACTTAAGATATGTGAGGACCTGCAATATTCATCAAATTTCAGATTTCTTGAGAAATAAATTCCTTTAATTTATAAAATCCTTTAATTTATAAAAACCTTTATCATACCAAATTTGGAATTTAAGTGTATTTTGGACCATTTTAAAAATGAACTTAAGATGCCAGGGTTGACAGATGACCAGTATGTCAGTCCTGTTCTGCCTGTCCTTCTTGTCACACACTGGTGGATATTTCTCCACTTTTGTTCCACTTTAATATAAAGCACACAGATGTTTCAGAACAAGACTTGACTTCTGACCTTGAGGCTATTAGGGTCAGGGTCCTCAGGGCCTGTGAAATTATCACAAGCTGAGCTAAAGTTTTTCTCCATCACAGGAAGTAACCAGTAAGTAAGAAGTTAAAAAGGAGCTTTGTCAGAGAGACAAGATGGTCTCAGTAAGGGTCAGCTTCTGTAGTCTGCTATCTCTGCAGGAGGCACATGCTTGGGAGGAGGAATATAATATAACCACTGGCACATCACATATCTGTCAGGCAACACTAGGGCTGAGAAGTCTATTTAATGTAATATACCTTGTTTAGTTTTTAAAATATGAATGGCAATTATCTCAACTTCATATATATGCTACTTTTTGAGAAATAGGTGATTGTAGTATGTAATAGAGGTATACAGATGGTGGCAACTGAAGAAAGAGTGCTTCTTGACCTAATAAAATGGATTCCTCTAAGCAAATAACATTGTATACTGATGAGTTTAACCTTAATATTTTACAAACTCAGTGAATATATTTAAGTTCATTATGTTTCTTTTTCAAAAGGCTTTTTTAAAAGCATGTTAAAGAAACCAAATACTGAAATGCTTTTAAACCTTTTGCTTTTGCTAAAACTAAATAATTTCTTTCATATTCTAATATTCTTAGGGAAAAGTCATGGTGTTTAAATTGTTAACAAATATTTATTCTCTCTGGATTTTTCAATAGAATATATGAAATTATTTTACGTGGATTCAAAATTTTAACATAGCTTTACAAGAAAGTAAACTGTGAAGATTAATATATAAATCATAAATTATTAATTAGTTTTTTATCTCAATAGTGCATAATATATATATGCATTTATATATATATAAATATATATCATACATCAGAAACTTTGGATTCCAGTAAGTTTAAATTTTTTTCTTTGTTTTTTCAGTGCTAGCCATCAAACTCAGGGCCTTGTGTGGTTCTCTCTGTTTCTCTCTCTTGCTCTTAGTTTGCAGCATTATGTGTGAATGTATCATTTTTCTACCACTTATTTTATACCTGCTGTAATTATTAATCATAATTAGAATGTACCAGATTCATCGGGAAGACAACTACATAAACAAATTCACTGGGGTTTTGTTTTGTTTGTTTGTTTGTTTGTATTTTTACTATGCTGAAGATCAGATCCAGGGCTTCACACATGGTAGGCAAGGCATTGTGACATTAAGCTGCATCCCAGCCCTTTTCAAATTTTTTATTTTGAGACAGGGTCTCACCAAGTTGCCCAAACTGGCCACTAACTTTTGATCCTCCCACCTCAGCCTTTAGAGTAGCTATGATTACAGACATGCACCATCGTGCCTTGCTCACATTCTTCTTTAGGTCATGAATGTCAGAAAAAGTTATTTTAATGTAAACAGTGTGACAAGTACAGTTTCACCAATAAATGCAATTACTTTTAGTACTTATTGTTTGAATAATAGGTACCAGTCAGGACTCAGGATGAAATGCATCTTGACATTCACTAAATGAAAACTGTGTATAATTGTTGGTTAAAATTAAATGTGCTGCTAATAGATATCTGAAGATAAATTACTTTTAAACTATTGAGCTTTCATATTATACTAGTTATTGTTTATTAAAACTGAGAACATTGATTATTTCCTATGTTAAAATGTTGACTTTCTCTTGTAAAAGATGTTATTTTCAAAATCATTGCTCATTTTGGGGAGTAAATCTTGGACTCTAAACAGACCTAACTTCATGAACACAATTTACCGTTTGTGAGAAAAATTATACTAAAAACTACCTTTCTCTGCTTTTGTTTGCATCATATAGTAACAATTCACATTTCTAATTTGCTAAATTTTCTATGATTCTAGTAAAAATTAGTATTGATAAAACTGTTCTTATATCTCTCACAGAGTTCAGTCATTAAAAATGTAAGTATTTAGTTTATGGACTGATAGTGAATGTTTGAAAGCAATCACTTTGCAGTTATCAGTTCTACATATTTGAAGTGTTGCCAATATTTAAAGTTACAATTATTAAATGATCATTTCTGTCTTATAAAATTTATTTTATAACTTGTGGAATTAATAATCATAATTAGAATGTACCTACCAGATTCATTTGAAAGACATCTACAAATAATGAATCTTACTTTTGTCTTATTAGCTGTTAAAACTTAAGGCTGTTTTTAAAAATTAACTGTCATTTTAAAACAAGGCTATATTTGACCTTTTTCATTATTTCTTCTCCATCCACTTTAATAAAGTGATTCATTGCTTCTATTATTAGCCATTTCAGAGTGTTTTTTTCTTGTCTTTCCAAGTGATGATCAGTTTGGAAAAATCAAGTAACCTTAAATTTTTCCTTTTTTGAAAATGAACTGGCTTTCCTTGTCAGTGCCCAGTCACCAATCTCTGCTCACCTTACCATACCTATTTGCAGCCCTCAATAAATCAATTTGCATTCAGATTTCATTCCTTAAATAAATGTGCTCATATTTTTTGTAAAACATATTAAATATTTTATTAAATGTTTCACTAGTTTATTGAATACTCTGAGCTGATTTAAAAAATCATTATCTTTCTTATTATTTATATTTCCTTTCCCATGTTATTAGTGGTATGTTCACAACCACCATTAAAAACATCACTTAGAAATGTGTGAAAACAGCTTCTTTTGAAAGAGTGTCTCTACCCACTTTTGATTTTGGTTTCTCCATGCTTGTCAGCACTTGATTGGCATCTCACTTGCATGTGAATTAAGGAATGAAGGGAACTCTTATTTTCCTGCCATTGTTCCATGCTGGGCTCCCTGGCCTCCAGGCAGCCTAAGCTGCCCTTGAGCAGCTGATAGAGGACTAGTTTTTGGAGGAGCTATGTGAGGACACTCAACCTCAGTCTACTTTCAGTAGATCTTTTTAAATTGCCTAGAGCATGATTTAGAATTACACTAAATAAAAGGTAGAATAAAACTAAAGTTATCTTTTATCTTTAGAGATATCAATTAACTACAACCTTAAAGAAGTAATAATTTATTTTGTCCATAAAAAACAAAGTAAATTGGACATTTGTAAAATGTCTGCTTAATGTGATCAATGGGAATACCTAAAAGTTGGAGTGCTGGGAATCAAGAATTGAGGGGAGGTAAAATGAGAGAAAATAAGTCAGAGAAAAACTGAGTCAAAATAGTATCAAAATAATTCAGGCTGAAAACACTCTTACAAGCCTACTTTAAAATCTAGGTAAAAAAAAATCTGAAAAATAAGGTGTCATTTCAGTAAAACTACAAAAAAATCCTAATTAGTTTGTTTTTAAGTTGTTGTTGTTGTTGTTGTTGTTGTGTGTGTGTGTGTGTGTGTCTATCTTGACTTGCCCAAATGATCTAGAAACAACTTAAGAATAGATCAAATATTGTCCCCAAATTTGAGAACACAAGATATTACAATCTAAATAGTTAAA